TCTATATAACTAAAAAAATTATTGATGATGTCACGACCCGCTCCCCGTACCCAAGAGTTAAGTATCGTGATGGCCAGTAACTGAAGTTATCTCCGGCGAATTCTTAAACAAACAAATAAACGCGAGCGAAAATAATATTTAAGTGAGGGTACCAAAATAATCATCGGAGCTTCTATTTTTATTACAAAATGTATTGACCAAAGAAGTCGATATTTACATATAAAAATATCATAAAAGTGATGTTTGTGTCTATTCCGCAACCCCACATCTAAGACTTTCCAAAAGCTATTTCTGAATTGCATTGTTTCCTGAAAATTGGTAAACAACTATAAGAACATGGCTGAGTGAGAAATATTATACCAAGAGTATAAAGAACACAAAATAATCATAGATAGTTATGTAATTAAAATATTTAAGATAACTTAGTTTGAACAAAATAATTATTTAAGTAGCAAAACTAAGATTATATAAATAAATAACCATAGCCACGATACTAAACAGAACGGAACAGAGGTCACAGGAGTGACAGTCAGAATAGAGATACGGATTCAGTAGCTCGTATGGATTATAGAGGTGGCTCTCACAATAGTGTAGCACTTATCTCCGCACAACACTTTGCTCCGCACAGAACAGAGGTCAATAGATCCATGACAACAGAGGGCCACAAAGTGACCAAAATGGTTATTTAAGTCTCCCAAGGCGTGGGACTCCCGTGGTGGTACTTACAAAACATATTTGTTTATAAGGTCATAGCCAAATAATCATTAAAGTTAAACAAACATATCCATGGGTTTCATTTAAGCAAATAGAGTTTAGAAGTTAATCCACGTAATTGAAATATTTCTAAATTTGTATAAAGTAAATTATGGTAAGTCAAAATATATATAAAATATATTATGGTAACTCAAAGTATAATATAACTCACCTTAAGATTGAGTCTTACTATTTTCTTCCTATTTTTCCTACCTTCACGAGACCCCTTCCTACACAATATCCCTCAGAATTTTCCTTCGTTTTTCCCCCTCATTCCTCTCATCCTCCCTATTTATAAGGAGATAAGAGCATACGTCGCCTGTGTGTCTTAAAAAGATTTGATTCATAAATTATATACATTTATATTTATCTTTAAAAAATATTTAAGATAATTATACTTTGGCCAAATTTTTTAATATAACTATATAAATAAATAAATTCCTAATTAAATTACACTCTATCGTATACTAACAGAAAATTAATTATTTATTTTACTACCACACCCATTATTATTATTATTATTATTTACTCTTACTTTTATATTTATTTATTTATTATCTTTAACTTTAATCTGACTCAACTAGTATTATAATTTCATATTTCTGTTAATTTGGCCCCAAATAATAATCCCTAATTAATCTCATATTTGATAATCTAATGTCAAATTAGATTCTGTATTTATTATTATTTATTTAATAATATATTATCACATATAATCATAATACTAGTACAAAATTTAAAGGACAACTTAAATTTTTGAGTTGTTACAGATGAAAATTAAGACCAAGTTTGGCTATCTTAAATTAGTACACACTTTTTATCTTTTTATCTTTTTTCCATCACATCATCTCTCTATTTTTTTACATATCTTTTCATAAAAAGACAAAAAATATACTTATTTAGGTCATCCCAAACAACTATACAAATTAAAATAAGGAAATTCAATGTAATTATGTTAAAATTGTATCATTTATTATATCACGTTAAGGGAGTTCTTATCTTTTTTTCAAAATTTACTCTAAAATATAGGAAGAGGGAAAAAAAGCATACAAGGAGTGATGATTTAACATGAATAAAAATTTATATGTACTAAAATAATATGAATAGTTTGGCAATGTATGTTAAAAACTGTTGAAGTGAAAGAAATTTTAATCTGTCATGGAATTGCTGAATTTCAATTTCAAATGTTATTTTCAGAATGAGATTTGTAATTTCGCAACTTAAAACTCCCATTTTTAAAATGCGAGTTTATGTTGAAATCGCATGTTGAAAATGCAATTTCAACTCACTACACTACGTCATTGCAATAGAAGCCATGTCAACTTGAAATCACATTTTCAATATGCGATGTCAACTTGCCACATTCACACATCATTATCTATGTTGACCTAAAATCACATTTTGAATATTCGATTTCAAGTTGAAATTAGATATTTAAAATACGATTTCAAAAGTGGGTTAATTTTTCAAATAGTTTGAAAAGAGACTTAATTCTCTAATTTAATTTTTTTTTCTAAATATTAAAAAAAAAAAACTCCCATAACTTGGGTGGAGCTAGAGAGATTATTTGATGGTTTAAAAATAATGACAAGCGTGAAGTTGTGTTTAAAAAAATAATAAAATTTATTATTGCAATAAATAAAAATTAAATTAAGAATTTTCTTACATGGATTGCGCTTGGGAGTGATAGTAGGACTAAATTGATAGAAAATATATTAGTTAGTAGGTGGTAGAGATGTGACATTACTTAACACTGCAAATTTACCTGAACATTAGATGGGATGTTTGTTTGAATAGATTTTTAGGTGAGATTACAATTTTTTAAATTATTAAAATGTCTTTGGATTGTGCATTTTACATCAGAGGAAGAGTTAATAAAATCTTATTAATTTTGTTTTTAACTAATAAGTCCTCTGTGTTATATCTCACCTCTCAAGAAGGATTCGATGGTCCTCTATATGAAAGATATCGGGTGTGTTTGATTTGATTTTGAGAGATAAATTTTTTAAGAAAATTTTAGAGAGAGAATTTAGAAATTTTTGTGGTTTGTTTGGTTATATATTTTGAAAATATTTTTAGAGTATGAAAGTTTAGAATGATTTGATATTTTATTATAGTTGAGTAGATGTGTGTGGGAAAAAAAATGATTGAGAATGAGAAAGGAGAAAGAAAAAGTAATTGATTGATATGAGTGTTTTTAGAAATTTTTTTCTAAAATCACTAAACCAAACAAAATTTTGAAAATTTTTCTCCAAAATTACTTTCTTAAAAGCAAACCAAACAAAGCCATCATGTTTGGATAGACTATTAGTTCGAATCTTAATTTTTTTAATTAAACATTAAATTATATATTTTGTTAGATTATTAATCCACTTCCAAACTGATATCCCTCCGAACAAGCATGGCTACCACATAGGGTATCAATTTAAAACCAAATAAAACTCTTTTGCTTCTTTGTAATCAATCCTTCAAAGTAAAAATTTTGCAAATCTCCTTCTAATAATGTTATCACTGCTTACAATAATGATGTAGAAATGTGATTTATGAAGTAGTCACTTTTTTATAGATAAATATAGGGATAGGCTTATTTCTAGTCCTAATCAAACTGGATCTGTCTTGTTGGGTATTTATGGGCACATCACAGAGCTTAAATCGATAATTCAAACCGTTCAATATGTAAAATTCGTCGATTACTTCATCACTAATCAGTTCACATTCATATTAATGGTAAATATGATTTTAAAAAGAATTGTTAAAATAAATGTAATTTGATCAAATGATTATCGATATTCAATCAAAATAATTTTTTACAAAGATAAAATATTCAACAAATTATATACGTTAAGATGAACTCGAAATAAGCTCTAAATGAACCGGACTAAATAGTCCAATTGAATTGCTCAACCAAGACAATCTAGTCTCATAAATGTGAGAGTTGGTTAAATATGAATCAATAATGTTAAAGCATAATTTGAAAAAAAAAAATGATTTTTTATTGTTGTTGTTGTTGTTAGACTTCAATAATATTTTGTTCTCTAGAGGTGCCCCCCTTGGTTGTTTGTTGGGTTTGACCAACCACTTGTTGGGTTTGTTCATACATTTTCAATTTGACATCAGATTGGAACGTATTGATAAGTTTATGAGAGTTCATCAAGAGTCTTGTTTTGATAATTTAGACTATTCAATATATAAAATTTGTTGAGTACTTTATCTTTGTAAACAATCATGTCGATGGGATATTGATAACTACTTGATTGAATCAGATTTTTGTCAACGATAAATATAATTTTCAAAATAAATTGTTGACAAAAATCTGATCCGATCAAATAGTTATCGATATCCGATTAACGTAATTTTTTCTTACAAAAATAAAATACTTGACAAATTTTACACATTGAATAATTTAAATTATCAAAACATGACCTATGATAAGCCTTACGAGCTCAACAATACTATCTAGTCTGAAGACACTCATTTCATAACTATGAGAGTTTGTTAGATAGGAATCAATAATGTTGAAGCATAATTTTAAAAAAGTTATTTTTTGGTCAGACTTCAATAATATTTCTTAAATTTTTTGTAGTATCTTTTTGATAATTTGATTGCAAATTTAAAAAAGGGCAAATTACATATGCCCCTCGAGGTTTGGCTAAATTACAGATACCCCCCTGAGGTTTGAGAAATTACGAATTCCCCCTGAATGCTATATTTGCATAAGAAATTAGGGGGTAATTTGTTATGAAATATAAACCTCAGGGGGCAAATTGTTATGAAAATACAAACCTCAGGGGGCGGAATGTAATTTTCGAAACCTCAGGGGTATCTGTAATTTAGCCAAACCTCGAGAGGTATATGTAATTTGCCCTTTAAAAAAAAAAGAAATCTCAAACCAACCCAACCATATCTTACAAAAATATCAATTTAATGTATTTTTTTTATAAAAAATGTTATAGGTCTCAACTTGTTTATCAAACAAATGATGAGATATCTCACGAGATATCTCACATAGGAGCGTAGGGTCTGCAATTTATTTGGTAAAAAATTTAATATTTCTAATAATATTTTTTTTTTTGAAAGAAATCAAATTAATAATAGACTTTACAAATATCAATAATTAAAATTTTCTAGAAATTTGTAATTATTTGGTAAAACTAAATTTCATCTAAAATCTTCCCAATTTGCTTTGTTATTTTTATTTTTTATAATTCGCACGCCACCTGTCTCGCTAATCTATTTTGTCAACCTACCACCACCACATTATGTTATTGTCAGCTGAAAGTAACCATCTTCTCTCTCTTCCTATGAAGGAAGAACTCTAACCATCCTTCTTCTTCTTCTTCGTATCATATATAATACAGAGAGAGAAGGTCTTGGACGTTTATTCTAATCTCGTTTGATCGTATCTATCTGGTTTCAATCTCTTTCTCTGTGATCTCTTCATCATCATCGTCAATGGCTTCCATTTCCAGGCTCTCAAATCCGAACCCTACTTATTCATCCACTTCATTTAAGCCCAAATCTGTCCAGCTTAAATGTTTGATCGACTTCAATTGCAAAACTACTTTTGATCACAGGGTTTCATCTTCTAGGCTATCCATCTCTACTAAGCCTGCTTCCAGCTTCTCCTTGTTTGTCAGATGTTCCCAATTTGATGGAAATGGAGGCCAAATTAAGAAAACAGTTCTTCATGATCTTTATGAGAAAGAGGGGCAGAGTCCCTGGTACGATAACCTATGCCGCCCTGTTACAGATCTGCTTCCATTGATTGCAAATGGTGTCAGAGGTGTGACAAGCAACCCAGCGATTTTCCAGAAAGCAATATCAACTTCAAATGCTTACAATGAACAGTTTAGAGAACTTGTACAAGCAGGGAAAGACATTGAAAGTGCATACTGGGAACTTGTGGTGAAGGACATTCAAGATGCATGCAAACTTTTTGAGGCAATCTACGATCAAACAGATGGTGGTGATGGCTATGTTTCTGTTGAAGTCTCTCCCAGACTTGCTGATGATACTGTAGGGACTGTGGAGGCTGCAAAATGGCTTCACAAGTTGGTTGATCGTCGCAATGTCTACATAAAGATTCCCGCCACAGCTGAATGTATCCCTTCAATCAAGGAAGTCATATCATGTGGCATAAGTGTCAATGTCACTCTCATATTCTCTCTGGCTAGATATGAAGCAGTAATTGATGCTTACTTGGATGGCCTCGAGGCTTCTGGGCTAAGTGACCTCTCCAAAGTCACAAGTGTTGCTTCCTTCTTTGTTAGTCGCGTAGACACACTCGTTGACAAGATGCTTGAGAAAATTGGAACCCCAGAGGCCCTTGATCTCCGAGGAAAGGCTGCAAATGCTCAAGCAGCTTTGGCATACCAGCTCTACCAGAAGAAATTCTCTGGTCCCAGATGGGAGGCTTTGGTGAAGAAAGGTGCCAAGAAGCAAAGGCTGTTGTGGGCATCCACCAGTGTTAAGAACCCAGCTTACTCTGACACTCTATATGCTGCCCATACCTCATCCTTTAAAATAATAATTCTCCACACACACTCCCACTTTGTCCCATTCTTTTTATTATTATAATAATTATTATTATTATTATTATATATATTTGTTTAGACCCATTAACTTGTCGAACAGTCTGTTCCCCACCTTTATTCTTTTTCTTCATCATTTCATCACCATCCCCTTATTTCTTTATTTATTTTATTTTTCGATTCCCTTCTTTTCATAAAAAAAAAAAAAAACAAAACGTAAATTATGAAAAAATTATAACTTTAATTATTAAAGTTGATAAAATTTGCCACTAATTTGTATTTTTTTTTAATATATATTGAACTGTAATTTTTCCAAATATAATTAGGCACAATAATGTGTGTAATTTTTCATTTTGTACAATTATTTTTATTTATTTATTTTTATCTTGATAAGAAAATTGGGAGACGATGGGATTTGATTTTCTAGTGTCGATTGCATTAATTAAATAATTTATATATAATGTCAAAATATTCATATGTATATGTATCATTTTAATTCTTTAATTCTTATTACTTATCAATTTTTATCTCTCATATAATATATCCCATAAACTTTGTCTTACTTGTCTGGTTGTTCTCAATTACAATATTTTTAGAAAATAAAAGAGAAAAATGACAGGACAAAAAATAAACAAACGAATAATATATTGGATCGTGTTTTCATTTTCATTTATTGTGTATTTAGAATAAATCATAATGCAAAGTCTTAAAATTCTATTGTTTTATTTTTACGCAAAATAACATTTTAGTGTTTCTTAAAAAAATAATTATTTTAAAAATATTTTGTCAAAAATAATCTTTAAAACCATTTAGTAAATAATATTTTTTATTTTTCAAAAAATAAAAATAAAAACACAACCAATGAAATCATAAAGCCCTCTTCTTCTATTTTTGGGATCCCAATAAGTAAACTTATTGCCTAATAAGTCTTGTGATAGTTAGTTACGTTTTATAAAAAAAAAAACCTTAATATACTTATTATTGATAAATTTATCACTATAAATTTATTCATAAAAATAAGAGAGATAGATAAATGGATTAATTACCAAAAAGTCATGTCTACATATTTGGTGGTAGCTTAGGTCCCGTCAAAAAGTTTTTGAACTAATAAGTCTCATTTATAGGTAAAAAGACGTTTTGCCCTTTAATCCAAAAACTGAGAATGTTCTCAATTTTTTTTCATAATAAAAATTGAGAATATTATAAACTGATAATGTTCTTAATTTCAAAACAAAGAATGATTTCAGTTTATAATTATCAAAACTACGAAATTTCTCAAATTTTTTTCTAGTATTAACTGAGAATATTATCAGTTTTGAGAAATTTCTCAAATTTTTTCATGATTAAAATTTAGAATATTATCAATCTACTCCCTCTCATACATTTACCTTCTCCACTGCTCCAATGGTTGGAGATGCACAGGTATAGGGAATAGGATAGGGAAATTTGGGAACAGAGATGAAAAGTAATTCTAGGGACCAAAGGGAAAACAGTAAAGCAACACACCACCCTTACCCTCATTCTACACACTTGTTGAGTAGACCCACTGCTACAGTTTCAAGGTTGTTGAAAATTGTAAACCCACCTGTTTACGGTTGCAGACACACATTAAAGACCAAGTGAAGACCACATTCCTCCATTGAAGACCTCCATTCTATCGAAGACCCCATCGCCACCGCCCTCAAACACAACAGAAATCTATACACGTGGAAGTACAAAATCGTATAGAAACTAACTGCCAGCGAAGATCTCACCGAACGAGAAGCTTGTGCTCTGGCCAATGACGATATGAAGTTCCGGTGACTCAACTTCACGTCTTTGGATTTGTCAGTAGTTCCCGAAGAGTAGAGAATCGTTGCTGTATCGAATTGAGAAACGCTAATTTGGTTAAATTTTTGAGTTCAATTCGTCATCATAGACTTGAACTCCGGCAAATCGAGAATAATCGTATAGTGAAGAAGTAAGGAGAGGTTGTGAGCGATGTCGGAGGTAGTGTAACATGCCCGGGGGGTACCCGTACGCGTTAAATAGTTCGGACTCCCGAGATCTCTTTGATCTAGTCTCACGAGTGCAATGTGAAACATAGATGAGAGTCCAGATTTGGCAACTTTTATTGAAAATCCATTTTATTGCAAAAAAGTAAAAAGTGGACTGCGTCATCAGATCTCAGAGTCGCCACCTAATATTTATGAGAAGTGAGACAAAATCATCTGATGGCCATATCAATGTGTAGTAACACAGGTTGGAGGACATTTTTAAGTGAAAGAAAATGCACTTCGCTAACTCACTGCGGAGGCAATGGGTATGGTTGTGTGTTCTGCAGTCCAGGGTACAAGGTTTGACGAGTTCATGATTAGATCAGAGTAGGGGTGAGCAGCGGATATATCGATTCGTCAAAACTGACCGAACCGAACCGATCCGCCGCATTTTGGACGGATGCGTGATGACGAGCGGACGGTTGCGGATTGATTTTCTCCAATCCGCCAATTTGGCGGATGGATGGCGGATTTGAGATTTATTTGGCCGCAACCAAACCGCCAAACCACCAAACCACAAGCACTCCTAATAATTTATAAGATTTTGTGTATTCAATTTGTTTAAATATTATGTTTGTTTTTTCAATTGAAAAAGAGTTTAAATATTCTGTTGAAAAAAAATTTTCAACTTGAATATATTTTTTGAATTGAAAAAAATAAACGTATTATTTATCTATATTTTTTGATTTTTAAATCTAAATCTAAAAATAATAAATATAAAATATGATATATGTTGGTAGGTTTTTGTTTTCAAAAACATATGTAGATGTAACAATAGAAAGACATACAATCTCTATTACTGTTTTGTTCATGGTTTTGGTAGTTTGAATTATTATTATATTTTAAAAATCACAGATTGTAATACTTTATGTACTTTATGTGGATGAATCATGCTGTGATTATAACATGTAGATGAGGCATGCAGTGATCGTGATATTTTAAAGTTTTAAACTTTCTTTCTTTAGATAAGGCATACAGGGATTATAATACTTTTTTAAGTCATTGACTGTAATACTTTCTTCTTCTTTTTTTTTTTTTTTTGAGAAAGTGCACAAGTTGAATTATGGTGAAAATTTGTAAAATTTTAAACTGCCAAACCGATTCGCATCCATCCGTCAAACTCACATCCGCCGGATTGGCGGACGGATGCGGGTTGATTTTTTTCAATCCGCCAATCTGACGAACGGATAGCAGATTGGAGGTTCCGTGACCGCAGCCGACCTGCGCCCACCCCTAGATCAGAGTTCCAGGTGTTGGCGAATATATAGAGCTTGATAACGAAACACTTGACAAAGTAACTTCTTCACTCACGTTTCTTTTTCTTCGTTGATATCCTTTCATTAGAGAATGTGCAATGGACACACAGAAGTTCTTTGATCCTGAACTCAGTAGATGCTTCACTCATCGAGGTTGCATTGCAGCTTGCTGGTTGTGAGCTTCTTGGCTTAATTAATACCTTTGGTAGGGGAGGGGGGTTGAGAAATGATGGGGTAAATTGGTCAAGGAAAGAGGTTGCAGTGTATCTCCGACTGATACATCAACTTCTGAGCATAGGTACTCTATTTCTCAAGTTCACTGGCCTTCGCATAAGAAAAAAGTAGTGTTAATTACCTAAACCTCTTATTTACAGATAGGGAAAATTACAAATAAATCTCTTAAGGTTTGGTTAAAGTACAAATTATTTTTTGTAGTTTAAAAAATTACAAATACCTCTTTGTTAGTATTTTTTTATTAAACAAAATTAATTAAAAAAATAAAATTTATACGGTGATGCTACATGTACTAATTAGTGTACTAACTAGTATACTAACACTAGTTATGACATTATTATTTACCCCACTCATTAATCACATTACAAATATCAAAAACTTCATAAATTATGTTATATCATCAATTGGTACACTAGCTTAGTTCATTAATTGGTACATATGACATTATTCAAATTTAAAATTGTTTTCCTATATAATAATAAAATTACATAAGTTATTAATTGAAACATATTTCTAACATCATAAACTGTTAATTGACTTGATAATTTATTAATAAAAGGGGCAATTTGTTATGAAATTAAAAACTTCAGGGGTGGAATGTAATTTTTAATATCATAGAGGACGATTCGTATTTTAATCAAATCTCAATGGTGTATTTGTTATTTACCTTTACAAATATTATGGTAACTCAAGCCATATCTAAGATTTTTTAAATCAATAAGTCCTATTTAGTATTAAGAATATGATCAGTTTTTCTCAATTTTTATAACTAAGAACATTATTAATTTTGCATTGTAATGTTCCAGATAATTATTCTACTATAAAAAAAACAGAGTATGAGATTAAACGTTTTTATCCTTCTACTTATTGGTTTGATTCAATTATCCAATAACATTGAAAACATTATCAATTTTTTCAGTTTTAAAACTGATAACATTATCAATTTTCTTTTATTAAAAAAGTTTTTTTTTTTTTTTTTCAATTTTGCACATCAATGTTCCATCATCATGGTCTTTTATAGACACAAAGTTTTCAAATTTGCATAAAAAAAAATTTAGTTTTTCAATTTTTTCAAAAAAAAAATATTTATTATTATTATTATTTTTACACAATTTTTTTTTTTAATTTTAGTTTTTTTAATGTGAAAGTTGATATTTTGAAGTTTTAAAAATTAAAATAAATGTCAAATCATCATATTCCTTTTTAGATAGTCATATATAATGAACCATCATTGTTTAAAAGATAATTTCGACTATTAAAAATTTGATAAGGCTTGAAGGTCTCAAAAAAACCTTAATTATGACTTAATAGACTAAGACTTGTGTATAAATAAATCCTCCAAAAAATATATATATATATTTTAAATGAGCCATTTAAAGGGTTGGCTGGAGGTTGAGGGTAGCTGGAGGTTGTGGCCAAAGGTGGGCCAGACACGACGGAGAGGGAGGAGTGCACGAAATTTTGTTTTCAAAATAAGTATTACGCAATTTGGTTACGTTTTCTTTATTGAAACAAAAACATTATCAAACATCCACTCGTCCGAACTCTTATCTTGTCGTTCTCCCTTCTTGTTTATGGTCTATAACATTCATTCAAAACCCAACACCAACAGCTCCTCAAGCCTCCTCTTTCCCAAGCCAACCCTCAGCCATAGATCAGAAATCTAATCAGATTAGATCAGATCCAATTTATTTTGAATCTAAACCCAGTAATAAACAGGATCAAGGGATGCTGCTGTAACTAAGTCATAATAACCATTTGTGATGTCTTGGTAGAAGCTTTTTTTGAGTCTTTTTTGATAATCTGAATCGATCGTATTATAGGGTTCATTAAATAGATTATCCTTACAAAACATTAAATTGATTGAAAATCTATAGCTTTATAACAAAAACACATTTATTTTTTAAAAAATAAACGGTTAACATGATTTTGATAATTTTTGTAAAACAATTTAAATCTAATCATAGGGTCGCGCATTTTTGATTAACTTCATTTTTTGTATGAATAATATACTCAATAGATTTTACAATATGAACGGTTCAAATTATCGAAAAAGACTCAAAAAAACTCTCCACAAGAGCACTACAGATCCCTACTCAGATTCCCCAATCCAAATAAAAAAAACCATTCGGATTCATATTTGATTAGATCTTTCTTAATAGATTTGGGTCGTGTCAAATCCACACCATGTTACCAGTGTGCAAGATATATTTTAGATGAGTAATGATCCATCCCCCCTTTTTTCCCCACCCCCTTTGACCCCTTCTCTCTCTCATTGGTCACCTTTTCTTTTTCTTTTTCTTTTTTTTCCTGCTCCACCAATCACCCCCTGCCACGTGGCAAAGGGGGGTGAGGGGGTGACCCCCAAAAGGAGGTCCCAAGCATTATTCTATTTTAGATTACTCTTGTAACATCATAGTAAGAACACTAGACACTAATTACTAATTTCATCATATCACTTTTAACATTTTCACTTATATTTCTTTGACACTTTTTTATATCAATCTCAACATCAACAGACACTAGTTAGCAATTTGTCAAATAAAAATAGGATGTTAATAATGAGGAAAATCGATGTCTCCACCGATTTAAAAATAGGGTGTTGAAAAATAGGCTCGAATGGTTCAGCCCTACCTACCTTACCTACCTTGAGGGTGCCATTAAGGTATGAGAGAGAGAGAGAGAGAGAGAGAGAGAAGAGAAGGATGGGGACTGAAGTCTGAACTGGGGAGGGCACGAAAGAGTAGGAGTAGGACAGCTTTGAAGTATGAACAAATGGCGTTGTACCTGCATTTACAACCACCAATCCTACAGAGCTAATTAAAGCCCATTAATGCTGCTTTCATTTCTCCTTGCATTCTCACTGTTATTCTCTACTGTCTACTCTACTTTGTATGAGAAACTGTGTAACGAATAAGTCACATAGTTAAGACGACGTGGTGTATCTTTTTATTAATTAATTAAAATGAGATCTGAAAAGTTACTTTTTACTTGACTTAAAGTGTTGAGTGTTCGACCACATTAAATTTCAGTCTTACTTTTTATTAAATGTCAATTAATAAGTAAAAGAGTGACACTACCATTACATAAAATATTTTTGTCACTTAGTACTGTATCTGTGCACACTCTCTCGACTCCTCTCCTCTTCTTTTGGTTCTTCACGTGTTGGTTACATCACCCTTTATTATGATTGTCTGCTTTCATATATCACCTAATTACTATTTAATTTTACACTGCTCTCTATACCTATCTGTATATATCTACATGATGAATAAATGAACCACGTTCATCATCATTCATCATGATGGTAAGCCTGCCATCGAAATTACTCTCTTCTCTAACCGTGCTGATAGATGACCACTTTAATTGGCTCCTTCAGTAGTTGTTCATCTCTATCTAAACTACTACCACTGGATATTTAGAACTTGTGTGTGCAAGCTTCTTCAACCAACAAACACTACTACTCAAAAACTGGATTGTTACTGTGGCCTTGTAGTTTTGACTTGAGGAAGGGAGGGAGGGAGGGAGGGAGGGAGGGATATGGGTACCAGAGAAATTAAGTCACCGGAAGTCCTACCGGCGGAGACTCCTCCTGCTGCTGCTGCAAAGAGGAATTCAGAAGATCCATATGATCGGAGAAAGAAGCTTGGAATTTACTTCCTTGAGTCTGATAATGCTCGGCGGACTCCTTTAGGTGGTGGTTATACCGCCGCTGGAACTACACCCGTTAACATCCACGGCAAGCCTATTCCTGATCTTTCCAAGACAGGCGGCTGGATTGCCGCCTTTTTCATTTTCGGTAAAAAGAAGTTTAATTTGCCACTTTCATTTCTTTTTTCTCCGATCCCTTGTTCAAACGTTACTAGAAACTTCAGAGATACTCACCAGCTATTCTTGAGGGTGGCTTCCAACCACAATTTTACCTTCCTAGTTGGGTTCAAAAGGGTCTACCTACGATGGGTTATCGATTATCTTTAAAAAATATAAAAATAAAATCTTGAGAGATACTCTTCTAGTACTGCTTATGTCTTCTTCTTCTTCTTGTTTGTTTGTTTTAAATTTTGTAAGGGTTTGTTTGTTTGTTTGGATCGTGTCCAGGAAATGAAATGGCAGAGAGAATGGCATATTTTGGGCTGTCAGTGAATATGGTGGCATTTATGTTCTACGTTATGCACCGACCTTTCTCAAGCTCGGCAAATGCAGTTAACAATTTCTTGGGAATATCACAAGCCTCCTCTGTTCTTGGTGGCTTCTTAGCCGATGCATATCTCGGTCGATACTGGACTATCGCAATTTTCACCACTATCTATCTAGCAGTAAGATCTATTCTACGTCAAATCTATCAACTTAAAAAAATATACTATACTATACTACACTATACTATGAGTAGATTATTTCTAAATTTATTTATTACTTTGGTTTGGTTGATTATTTAGGGATTGACAGGAATAACCTTATGTGCCACAATGAGCATTTTTGTGCCAAACCAAGATCAGTGCGATCAGATCGCCCTTCTTCTGGGAAATTGCGAGCCTGCAAATTCATGGCAGATGCTTTACCTCAACACGGTTCTTTACATAACCGGATTTGGAGCTGCAGGTATAAGGCCCTGTGTTTCATCTTTCGGGGCCGATCAATTTGATGAAAGAAGTAGAGGTTACAAGTCTCACCTGGACAGGTTTTTCAACTTCTTCTATCTTTCCGTCACCGTTGGGGCAATCATTGCCTTCACGGCCGTAGTCTACATTCAGATGACGCATGGCTGGGGATCAGCATTTGGTTCATTGGCCATAGCCATGGGGATGTCAAACATGGTCTTCTTCCTAGGTACTCCCTTGTATAGGCACAGGTTGCCCGGAGGCAGCCCTCTGACTCGCGTTGCGCAAGTCCTTGTTGCTGCATTTCGCAAGAGAAAAGCTTCCTACGATAGCAGCGTGTTTGTGGGCCTGTATGAGGTTCCAGGCAAAAGATCTGCCATTAAAGGCAGCGGCAAGATAGCTCACACCGACGATTTCAGGTGAGGGGCCTCTTTTCGTTATCTACTATTCCTTGTGCTACTTAAGTGCATAGACTGCTCTCTCTAGTCTTTAAGGATCTCTGTGCTCTTAAATATTCTGCTCTTGTATTTCCACTCGATCTTACTTTGGTCCCTCAACTACCACTTTTGGCCAAGTTGCAATGTTTCTTAGTAAATTTGTTAACGAAAATTGTTATGAGACCCTTGAATTTATTTTTAGAGCAAAAATGTAAAATTCTTTCATTTTCTTCTCTATTTGTCCAGTGTATTCTCTTTCTCAATTGTATTTTCTAAACTCACCACCACCATGGGCAGCGGGCGGGGAAAGGATGCGTGGCAGGAAATGGGGTGGTGGAGAAGGGCTGAGGGATGTGAAAAAATTGTGAGGGAGAAGTGGAGAAGAGGTGGTCAATGGTGGTGGATTTAAAAAATACAATTGAGAAAAAATAAAGAAAAAACTTAATTTTTTAACCTAAACAATGTATCATGTGAGGGTGACAATTCTGTTGAAAAGATTTTACCACTAGATTAATGGAAGGACACATCACAACTTGACCGAAAGTACAAAATGTTAGACTAAAACAATTTAAAAGTAAGGAAGCAAAGTAAAGTTATAAAGTGTGAAAGTGCAATGTGTAATGTGTAATTTACCCTTTCTAAAATGAATTATTGTGGTGTTGCTGTTTCACTAATTTTTTCCCCCCGGGTCTTTTGGGCATGCAGATGTTTGGACAAGGCAGCCCTGCAACTGAAGGAAGATGGAGCTGATCCGAGCCCATGGAGGCTCTGTACTGTGACACAAGTGGAAGAAGTGAAGATTCTTTTGAGACTCGTTCCAATTCCAGCTTGCACTATAATACTCAGTCTATTCTTAACAGAGTTCTTGACTCTATCAGTACAACAGGCATATACATTGAATACCCACATTGGTCATCTCAAACTCCCTGTAACATGTATGCCTGTCTTTCCTGGCCTCAGCATATTTCTTCTACTCTCTCTCTATTACACAGTATTTGTCCCGCTCTCCCGGCGCATCACGGGTCATCCTCATGGAGCCTCTCAACTTCAGAGGGTCGGCATTGGGTTGGCAGTTTCAATCCTATCTGTGGCATGGGCTGGGATTTTTGAAAGGTACAGAAGAAATTATGCAATAGAACACGAGTATGCGGCCAGTTTTCTGACAGCCATGCCGAACCTAAGTGCATATTGGCTGTTAATCCAATACTGCCTAATTGGGATCGCCGAAGTGTTTTGTATCGTGGGATTACTAGAATTCCTGTATGAGGAGGCGCCTGACGCCATGAGAAGCATAGGTTCGGCTTACGCAGCCGTAGCTGGCGGTTTAGGTTGCTTTGCAGCCACTATATTGAACAACATTATCAAATCTGTGACGGGTGGCAATGAGGATAGGCGACCATCGTGGCTGTCCCAGAATATTAATACTGGAAGGTTTGATTACTTCTACTGGTTTCTTACGGTTTTAGGTGTAGTCAATTTCTGCGCTTTTCTGTACGCGGCGCATAGATATCAGTACAGAGTAAAGCAGGAAATTGAAATGGGGGGCACAAGTAAAAATGAGACTGTAATCAGTAAATAGCTTATGAGGAAGCATGCATTAGATGGAGTAGGACAAGATCCTGCCTTCCCCCTATGAAAGCTAGCACTTCTGTGAAACATGAACATTATTATTGGTTTTTGTTTTTGGAATCAATGATTCATCTTTCTCAATTGAATGTGGCAAACATCAGCAGTGATTTTGTTTTGTTTTTGCAATAGGTTAATTAAACATGAACAATAATGCAGTGATGCACATGTTTGGGGATTATAATTTTTAATTATTTTAAATTTTCTAATATAATATATGATATTTTTCAAATTTTTGGGGCTGCGGTTGCCCCGCCCGCACCCCCTAGATCCATCCTTGGATGCACCTCCCATGCAGATGCAGTCATGAACCCTTGATATATGTATATACATATATGTGTGTGTGGAGATCCAGACAGATCAACAGCACACCTCAATTCAGAACGCCAATCACACAGAACTCAGTTTGTAAATCCATAACAAGACAAACCGAGCAACCACATCGATTGTACCTATGCAAGTGTCAAGACGAAGGTAGACGTTGCCCAGACACTACAAGTCTGTTGCACCAAGCAGTCAAATCAGATGATTGTTGAGTGGTTTTGCTCCTCAAAAATGGCAGTGACATTGTCCACCCACATTCAATGTCCCAAGTCCTAACACAACAAAACATTCTCAACAAATACTAAGACGACAGTCAGTTTAGCAGGTCTGACCAGGAAAGTATCACGAATTTGGGGTGAACCCAAGCCGACCCACAAGTGGAGGTTAGAACGAGCAACAGGTGTCAAGAAACAGAACTTTCATACGTCATTTAAAAACTGCCCGAATATATTGTACAAAGAATGTTCTGTCTAAATAAACTTCAATCCTGAGATATATTGTTGTCTACAAATCAGATACTGAGCCAAAGAGTATATTATTCCAAGAACTCCCAATATCCTAATCTTGATCAAATCTGTTATTATGACTGACGGAAGATTAAGGGGCAATGCCATCAGTGGTGTTGAGTCAGTCTGCTTTGTGTAGCTCCATACAAACCGGTTAAAAAGGATATGACTGGGGAATGTGAGGATGAGAAGGGCCACATTCTTCACTGCAAAAAACCAATCTGGTCCTCCAATTTCTAGGCCCCACCCAGCATTCCCAAGCCATGTGTCTTCCCATATGCTATAAAACGCAGTCAATACAAGGTAGGTTGAAATAACTACTGTAACTGGGAAATACCTCTGTTTGTCCCCGAATCCAGCAACAAAATCGGAGTCCTGGTTGAGAAGCAGTAAGATAGGTGCCAAGAAGAATATTGCACGGTTTGAGCCACCAGTTAGATTGACATTCAAGATTAGGCATATAGCAAAGCACATTATAGTAGCAACATTACCAACTGCTGGCATCCAGGCTCCCTCAATGGCCATCCTCTTGATAGTGAAGGCTTGCACAGTTGAGGCCGCCCTACGCTGCTGCATGAACCTTAACTTTGGAGGTAAAGTGGCAGAGCTGTTTTCACCAGATTGGCTGTGTCTAATTCCACCCCTTTCAAAAGCCTTTTCTCGCATAAGTGATGCCAATTCAAACTTTATCTCCAATGCAATAAGCATAAAAATAGCTGCATATAAACCAAGAAGCGATGTCCTTGCTCCCTCAATGGCAAGTAGCATTGTCAACTTCTTGTCTTCCTCTCCGGCATCTCCAGCTCCACCATCCCCAAGTATGCTTTTAATTCTCATCTGGCCTTCCAATAAATAAGTCACAGGAAAGAGAGCCACAAGTAAAGCAAACACCCATGGTAGAATTTTTGTGCTTGAGGCAGAAGGGAAATGGGTGAAGACCACAAAAACAGAAGTGCAGACCATTGTTATGACAACAAGGGCTTGTAACATAGCATCCTGAAGAAAATATTCAGCAGCTATATAAACACCCAGAGCAATCCCCATGGCAATGGAGTAAAATGCTCTCAACTCAACAATATACTTTATGGGAATAATGGAAGTTACTGATGCAAGGGTGAGCAGGATTGCTGCGATAAGTAGCCATGATGGCCACGTAGCCTTTGATGTCATGAAGCCATATATGGAGATATCATCAGCTGATTGACGAGCTGCCTTGATTAGATCAGACCGATAGGTCCATGACAATGGAATTGGGGGCTGCAACAGAATAAAAAGAAGCCCTGTTGCCACAACAAGCACCAGGCATCTCTTAGCAGACTGCACAGACAAAAGGGAGAAAAAGTCTTTTAGCTTAATCCAAGTATGAATTATTACACAAGTTGATGGGGAAAAAAAAACCCAGAAATAAAAGCTTAATGATTCCAAACAAGTAGAGAGAGAGAGTACATAATTGTTGGAAAAGAATTGCAGAACATAACCCAAAAAAGGTAAAAGTAGTACCAAGACATGTGAAAAATGGAGAGAAACTATTGGAACACAAGCCAATCCCGTCACAAAAATACAGGAGCCCACAAGTAAACCATCAGTTGGAGGTCTCCCATGCCACCACTGGAGAGCTTCAAAAATCATTTCACGACAAAACCAGACTGATAAAGCAACCACACCAGCATGCACATATCCTTGCCAAGGTTTCATCTTTGAGGATGCTCTCGACTTGTCTCTACAAAATTAATGAGAGAATTACAAGTCTGTTTTCATATGAAGAATTTAAGTATAAGAAAAAAGGTCATAAATGTGATGAAAATAAACTACTATTTACCTGTAAAGAAGCAATGGAGGAGAAACAGCCAATAAAAGAACAGCAGATGCCCATACCGCATCCTTTGATGTGATAAGCAGCATTGCCAACTTTGAAGAATACAAGCAAGTCAGAATCCAGACTGCCTTCAGTCCAATTCGATGGTCCACATAAAGTCTCCTAACCAGAGCCAAACCCACAAAAGTAGTCAGGGCAATCATGTAACTTGGATACATGACCTCATCCTCCAATCCATAGTAGTATATGCTTGAGTAATTAAAGAAACGATTCTCAATGTAGCATAACAGCAGTGCATGGCCGATCAAGCCAACCTCAACCAAGAAATGAAGTTTTGGCGGAAGTAGAGCTAAACCAGGGACAGCCATTGCCAGGACAACACTGGCAATAATGAGCTTACAGAAGGTCTTTAGAGACATGCCTGCCAACCAAATATTGAGATCCCAGAAATTATGTAGCACGAACCATGTGACCATCAAGCTCCCAAGCACAACAAAGGCAAAATATGATGGCAGACTCTTCTTTGTAAAGAAACGAGCCAAATAGAAACCAACAATTGAAGGGAGTGGAAGGAACTGCAAATAAAGGATGAAAATAACTTCAATTTGAGAGAGAGAGAGAGAGAGAGAGAGAGGGAGAATTTAATTATAAGCATTCCCCCAAAAAAATAACCAAACCAACAAACATCAATTATTGCTTGAGAATTTATACTGTGTACATAGAAATTGTTAGTATTATAGAATGTGATAATCGACACTACTCAAAAGTGTCTGTAGAGTGTCCGATATTATAAATTTAAATTTTAATTAAGAATCATTTGTTTAATGAATTAATGGATAGTAGATTAAAAAATATTGATATTCCACAAATCTCATGGGCATGGCCAGGCGGTGCCACTCACAGTTTGTGGTCGACGAATGCAGTAGGGGTTCATCATTTTATATTGGTGTGGTGATTATGGAAATAACAGTAAACATGACATTTTATTGTCACATCACGTAATGTTTATGAGTACTGTTTAGTATATTTATAATTATACATATAAATTTTTTGCTGTCTTTAATCGAAAGTACCCGTTGAAAAATAAACATAAATACTTCAAAACTGCTAAACAATTACATGTGTGGGTTTAGAGGGGCACTATTTAGTGTTGATAGCTGCACCTCATATCAATTACAGGGGACTGAAAGTTTTCATAATTAAAAAAACTATCTTTCTGAATAAGTGACCCGGGCTCGAGCTACATACATATCTTATATGATGTTCTTACTATAATAATGATAATAATAATAATAATAATAATAAGGCATTTAGGCATTCATAATATTCCTTTCCTGGGGCATTAGGTACGCCAATGGAGCCCTTAAAGATGGTGACATTGCCTTTCATATGTAGTACGTGTCAACTGGCTGGATCATAACCACATTAAAAATTGACAATTAAAATATTTGCATTTTTTAGAGATAAGGATGAGAATTTTTATGATGTTTGAATTATGGATGTCGGTGGAGATTTAAAAAGGAAAATAGAAAAGGTAGGTGAAATGTAAATAAAATATGTATATATTTCACATAGTTTCACACACTTTTTTCTTTTCCCTTTCCAAATCCCTT